GTATTTTCTGCTTTTAGCCAATATCCATCTGACGTCAGCTGTGATAGCCCTAGTTCTGCTTCCTTTTCTGAATGGTCTCTCATTTCTGGGAGTGCTCTGTTAATGAACTGTTACACCCTTTTTGAATTCTCTTAAGTGAAATTCTATTTGCGCGTGATATTAATGATGTTGTACAATGATTTTCTCATTCTGTTGGGTCACCCCTCTTTGGAATGGGCACAAATAATGGATCTCTTCCAATCAGTTGGCCAGGTAGCTGTCCTTCAGATTTCTTGACATGAACCCGTAAGCATCTTCAATGCTCCCTCAGTGTGTTGAAACATTTCTGTTGGTATTCTATTAATTCCTGGAGTGTCTTGTTTTTCATGAGTGCCTTCAGTGCCACTTGGACTTCTTTCTGCAGTACCATCCGTTCTTGATTACTTGGTACCTCCTGCAGTGGTTGAACTTAGACCAATTCTCTTCTGGTACAGCGACTCTGTATATTCCTTCCATCTTCTTTTGATGCTTCCAGCATCATTCAATATTTTGCTCATAGAACCCGACAAGATTGCAACCCGAGGCTTGAATTAATACTTCAGTTCTTTCAGCATGAGAGATGCTAAGTGTGTTCTTCCCTTTTGATTTTCTAATTCCAGGTCTTTGCACATTTCATTATAATGAATATTCTTGACTTTGTCTTCTCAAGCTGCCCTTTGAAATTTTCTGTTCAGCTCTTTAACCTCCTCATTTCTTCCATTTTGTTTACCTTCTGTCTGCTCAAGCGGCTACCAGTCATCTGTTTGTCCTACTGTGGTGGCTTGCATGTTGCTGTGATGCTGGAAGCTAAGCCACTGTTATTTTAAATACCAGAAGGTCTGCCATGGTGGACAGGCTTCAGTTGAGCTTTCAGACTAACATTGTCTAGGAAGACAGATTCACACAATTTCTGAATGTTTAGTTACTGAAAACGTTGTAAATAGAAATGGAACACTCTCAGAACCAGAATACTGACTATTAAAACATTCTATGAATTGTTGTTAAGTGTTGTCGAGTCAGTTCCGACCCATGGTGTTTCCTAGGAAACCCATGGGTTTCCTAGGGGTTGCTGGTGAATTTGAACCACCAACCTTGTAATTCAAACCAACCTTGCACCAAGTGCTTATCTTACATTTCCACACTAGATTATTGTCATATATAATGCTGGAAGATGAGCTCCGTAAGTTGGAAAGAACGCAGAGCTACCTCCTCAAAGTAGAGTTGACTATGATGACGAGATACGAGACGAGGAGAAAAGAAACGACTATGAATAATCAGGGCATGAAGTGTATGAAATATGAGCCTAGGAACATTGTGGATGTTAAGTGCCATCGAGTCGGTTCCTGTCCATAGTGACTCTGAACAGGGTTTCTGAGGCTGTAAATCTTTATAGGATCAGAAAGTCTCCTCTTTCTCCTGTGGAGCAGCTGGTAGTTTTGAACTGCTGACCTTGCGGTTCACAGCCCGATTCGTAACTAGTACGCTACCAGAGATCCTTTAGGAACATTGGAAGGTGTTTAAAATGAACAGGAACATATAAAGATGGATCTGTTAGGCATTAGTGATCTGAAATGAACTGATAATTGGTTTATTTGAATCTGACAATCGTATCGTGTACTATGCCGGGAATGACTAATTGAGGAATAATGATGTGACATTCATCATCAAAAAGAGCATTTAAAGATCTGGCTTGAAGTACAATGCTTTCTGTGAAAGGATATATTCATACATCTGTAAGGAAGACCAGTAAATTTATTACTTAAATTTACGCACCAGCCACTAAAACTAGTGTTGCTGAATTTGAAGAATTGTACCAACTTCTTTAGCCTAAAATTGATCAAATGTGCAATCAAGATGTATTGATAATTACTGGTGATTGGAATGCAAATGTTGGAAACAAAGAGGAAGGATCAGTAATTGAAAATATGGCCCTGGTGTTAGAAGCCATCCTAGAGAGAGAATTTTGCAAAACCAATGACTTATTTGTTGCAAATAACTTTTGAAACAACACAAAGGACAACTATACACATAGACATCACCAGATGAAATACACAGAAATCAAATAGACTACATATCTGAGAAGAGACGGTGGAAAAACCCCATGTCATCAGCCAAAACAAGGCCAGGGGCAGACTGTGGCACAGACCATCAATTGCTCATATGCAAGGCTGAAGCTGAAGAAAATGAAAACCAGTTAGTGAGAGCCAAATATGACCTTGAACATATCTCTCCTGAACCTAGAGGTCATTTCAAAAACAGATTTGATTTATTAGACACTAATAACCAAAAAACCATAAGAGTTTGTGGATGATATCAAGAACATCAAACATGAAGAAAGCCAAAGGTCATTAAGAAGAGAAGAGAAAAGGAAAACACCAAAATAGATGTCACAAGAGCCTCTGAAACTTGCTCTCCAACATAGATATGCTGAAGCAAATGAAAGAAATGAGAAAAAAGAGCTGAACAGAAAATGTCAAAGCATGAGAAGACAGAGTCAGATATTATAGTGAAATGTGCAAAGACCTGGAGTTAGAAAATCAAAAGTCATGAACAAGTGCAACATTTCTGAAGCAGAAAGAAATGAAGAATAAATTCAAGCCTTGGCTTCCAATTTTGAAGGATTCTAGGGGCACAACATTTAATGATGCAGAAAGAATCAAAGGAAGAGAGAAGAAATACACAGAGTCACTGTACCAAAAAGAAATGACAGAAGCTTAACCATTTCAAGAGATAACCTATGATCAAGAGCCAATTATTTTGAAAGAAGTCCAAGGTGCCCTGAAACATTGGCAGAGAACAAGGCTCTGGGAATTGCTGGAATACTAAGTGAAATCTTTCAACAAACTGATGTAGCACTGGAGGCACTAAGTCATTGATGCCAGAAATTTGGAAGGCAGCTACCTGGTCAACTGATTAGAACAGATTCATATTTTGTGTCCATTCCAAATACAGCTGACCCAGTGGAATGCAGAAATTGAACAGCATCGTATCACATACAAGTAAAATTTTGCTGAACATAATTTTAAAAATGGCCGCAACAGTACATGGCAGGGAACTGCCAGAGGTTCAAACGTTTTCAGATGAGGGCATGGAATGAGGGATATCACTGTGGACGCCAGATAGCTCTTGGTTGAAAGCAGAGACTACTAGAAAGATGTTTACTTGTGCTTTATTGTCTGCATAACATTGCTAAGAAGGGGTATTCAAGAACACTTAATTGTGCTCATGAGGAAATTTTACATAGACAAACAGGCCATCCCTGAATTGATCAAGGGGACACTGAATGGTTTAAAATCAGGAAAGGTATGCATCACAGTTGTCTGTATTCTTTCACCTTGCTTATTCCAGTTGTATGCTGAGCAAATAATCCGATTATATGAAGAAGAATGTGGCATTAGGTTTGGTAGAAGACTCATTAACAACCTGAGATATGCAGATGATACAACCTTGCTTGCTGAAAGCCAAGAGGACTTTTTTATTCTTACTGATAAAGATGAAAAAACCTTCAATATTGGTTGCACCTCAATGTATAGAAACCAGAAGTCCTCACCACTAGATCAGTAAATAACATGATGATAAATGGAGAAAAGATTAAAGTTGTCAAAGACTTCATTTTGCTTGGATCCACTATCAGCACTCATGGAATCAACAGTCAGGAAATCAAACAACATATTTCATTAGGCAAATTTGCTACACAGGACTTTTAAAGTGTTCAAGAGCAAAGATGTCAGTTTGAGGACTAAGGGACACCTGACCCACACCATGATCTTTTCAATAGCCCCATATGCATGTGAAAGTTGGACAATGAATAACGAAGACTGTAGAAGAGTTGATGCATTTGCGTTATGGTTTTGGAGAGAAATATTGAAAGTAATATGGACTGCCAGAAGAACCAACATATTTGTGTTGGAAGAAGTACAGCCAGGATGCTCCTTAGAAACCAGGATGAAGAAACTCTCTCATACTTCAGAGGGACCAGTCCCTGGCACATCAAGTACATCATGCTGATTATACTGGGTGGAGGGTCAGCGAAAAAGAAGACCCCCATAGAGAGATGGATTGGCACACTGGCAGCAGGAATGGGCTTAAGTGTAACAACTTTTGTAAGGATGGTGTAGGAACACGTAGTGTTTTGTTCTGTTATGCATGGGGTGGCTATGTGTGGGAACCGACTCTCAGACACTGTCTCAAAAGCAAATTTCAGAGTGTTTTCTGACGTCCTTTTTGGTCTTTTCTTTCTTTCCTATCTTTTAAACCCCGTTTTTCTTTCTATCTCTATGATGTTCTTGTTGTCATCCCTCCATGCTTCTGGTCTTCAGTCATTTGGTGTGTAATGCATCAAATCTGTACTTTACATGATTTCTAAATTTAGGTGGGATGTATCCAAGAAATATAATAATTGTTGTATATAGGTAACCTGTATTTGTGCTGAGTGCTAATGCTTATGTTACTGGCTTGTGTATGTAGTATACTGTACTTTAAGGAGTTTTGGTAGCGTAGTGGTTACAAGTCGGGTTGCTAACCTGAAGGTCAAAAGTTCGCAACTACCAGCAGTTTCTTGGGAGAAAGATAGGCTTCCTGCTCCCATAAAGATTTACAGCCTCGGAAACCCAGTATAAGGTCGCTATGAGTCGGAACCGACACCATGGCCCATGACCACCACCACCACCACCACCATACTGTACTTTCTATCTAAAAAGTTGACCATATAACAGTGGATGGTATGGCTCATAAGCAGCAGCCTGTGATCTCATGTCTAACTTGTCCTCAGTGTGGTACTGCTCTCTCACTGTTTAATTAATTTCATTAAAAAATATTACTGTGACCTTCTGTGCTCTTGATATAACAGCAGCAAGAGACAAAGGAGAATACCAATTTGGAAGTGAAACAAAAGGTTATTAAGCCACATGAAAGTGGAAAATCAGTGAATGCTATTGCTCTCCTTTAACAATGATGACAGTCCTCAAAATCAGACTAACATGCTCCATACTGTTAAAGGATTCGTTCCTCTAGAAGCTAACAGACTTACAAAAATGCAGAGGGACCTTTATCAGATATGGAGAAGTGATGTAGATTGAGCATCAAATATAAAAGCAAATCCTCTGAACACATTGATGTTCACTGCTAAGGCACGAAGCTTACTTTAAATAGTTATTTTTAAAAACAGAATAAGACTATATGATAGGGCTTTTGCACAACATTCAAACCATATATTGTCTTATTTTACAGAATGTGTCACGGATGATAAGTGAGGCTTGATTGTCTTTGTACTCAGTTTATGAGGAAAAAGCCAGTATTCAGAGAGATTAAGTGACTTTCCTAAGACCATAGAACTATTAAGGGAAACCTATTTAGTTATTCATTGTCTCTTCTGTTTTGTAATGTCTGAAAATGCTAGAAAATTAATATTGGAATGTGAGTGAAAATAAGGTAACAATAGGTAATGTTACTTAATTTGAAGCTTCCCACTATATAATATGATCTAGAGATGAAGAGAAGGACTCTGTGGCATAGATGGAAGCTAATTACCGAGTGTATGGGGACGCAGGTGTGTCATATCCAGATTTATACTGACTCTTGCCTTGTATGTATACTAACAGCCCAATAACTAACTTCATAATAATTTAAAAGCTTAAATTTGTATTTTGCTTTTAGGATTTGCATCGATATATGGACACAGAGTCTCAGAGATAGATGAAATGTTTGAAGCAAGAAAAATGATTGGCATTTGTCCACAATTAGATATACACTTTGATGTTCTGACAGTAGAAGAAAATTTATCAATTTTGGCTTCCATCAAAGGCATACCAGCCAACAATATAATACAAGAAGTGAGTCATTCATATAGAAAGCGTTACTTTTATTTGCTGCAAATTAATAGCCTTTTGAAATCTATGGTATCATAAAAATATACCTGAAAGTCTAAATATGAAACCTGTTCTGAGTCAGTAACAGAAAGTCATTATGAAGAATTAGGTGAACTTTGGAAAAACCCTTTGAGGATGGATGAACTCTTCTTGTTCTCCTGGAGGATACCAGCCTCTCCCAGTGGATGTGTCTTTCCTTCCTCCCTTTTGTTTCTCACCTCCCTGTTCCTGCAGCACACACAAAGCCTTCCCACTGATCCTTTCTTACCTCTTCCTCGCTACTCAAACCCAAAACCAAGCCCACTGCCCTTGAGTAAATTCTGACTCATAGTGACAGCCTCATCTGTCGCTGTCAGAGGTGCTGGTAGATTTGAACCACCAGCAATTAGCAGCCCAGCGCCTAACCCCTAGCACCACTAGGGCTTTTAATCACAAAACTACAAATTGCCTCCAAGATGTTTGCACTCTATTATTACAAAATTGTATGTGAATATATGTCAAGACGAAATTCTACATTATAGAACCTTTTTTCAGCTTGATATATTAAAATCGGAACATTTGAGAACTAATAATGATAATTGCATAAATGGGATGATTTTAAAACGAGCGTTACTCACACTTGACTTTTACAGGTACAGAAGGTTTTACTGGATTTAGACATCCAGACCATCAAAGATAACCAAGCTAAAAAGTTAAGTGGTGGTCAAAAAAGAAAGCTGTCTTTAGGAATTGCTGTTCTTGGGAATCCTAAGGTAAATAAATGTTTGTTTTACTAATGAGATGATTATCACTTATGTCGATAAGTAAACTAGGCTGTAGAAAGATCTATATGACACACATGCTACGGCTTCTGCTGTGTGCTGTCGAGTCGGTTCTGACTCGTAGTGACCCAGTATAGGGTTTCTGAGGTTATAAATCTTTCGTTGTTGTTGTTTGGTGCCACTGAGTTGACACTGACTCTTAGCGACCCTATGCAAACAGAAGGAAACACTGCCCAGTCCTGCTCTAACCACACAGTTGTTGCTAATCGTGAGCCCACTGTTGCTGCCACTGTGCCAATTCATCTCATTGGGGGTCTTCCTCTTTGTCTCCAGCCCTTCATTTTACCAAACATGAAATCCTTCTCCAGCATGGTCGCCTATGGTGGATAGGTTTCACCTGAGCTTCCAGATGAAGACAGACTAAGAAGGAGAGATGGACTACTTCTGAATATTTAGTCACTGAAAACCTTATGAATAGTAGTGGAATACCGTCAGTATCAGAATATTGATCATTGAAATATTATGAAGAGAATCAGAATATTGTCAGATACAGTACCAGAAGATGAGCCCCTTAGGTTGGAAAGCTCTCAAAATATGAATGGGGAAGAGCTGCCTTCTCAAAGTAGAGTTGTGTGAATGGATGTGAATGGAGTAAAGCCTTTGGGACCTTCATCTGCTGATGGGGCACAACTCAAAATGAAGAGAAACAGCCGTAAACGTCCATTAATAATCGGAACATGGAATGTGCAAAGTGTGAAACTAGGAAAACTGAAAATTGTCAAAATAAAATGGAACACAGCAACATCGATATTCTAGGCATTAGTGAGCTGAAATGGATTGGTAGTGGCCATTTTGATTCTGACAATCACATGGTTTACTCTTCCAGGAATGACAAATTGAAGAGGAATGGTGTCGCATTTATCATCAAAAAGAACATATCAAAATTTGTCTTAAAGTACAATGCTGTCTGTGATAGGATAATGTCCATACATCTATAAGGAAGACCAGTTAGTACCACCCACCATTCTTCAAATTTAGGCACCAACTACTAAAGCCAGCGATGATGAAATTAAAGGATTCTACCAACTTCTTCAGTTTACAATTGATCAAACATGCAATCAAGATACATTGATAATTACTGGCGATTGGAATGCAAAGGTTGGAAACAGAGAGGAAGAATCAGTAGTTGGAAAATATGGCCTTGGTGATAGAAATGATGCTGGAGATCGCATGATAGAATTTTGCATAAGCAGTGACTTCTTTATTGCACATACCTTTTTTAAACAATGTAAAAAAATGACTGTACACAGGTAACTCACCAGATTGGAATACACAGAAACCAAACTGACTACATCTGTGGAAAGAGATGATGGAAAACTCCATTTTCATCAAACAACGAGGCCAGGACTGTGGAACAGACCATCAATTGGTCATAAGTAAGTCAGACTGAAGCTGAAGAAAATTGAAACAAGTTCACGAGAGCCAAAATATGACCTTGAACATATCCCACCTGAATTTAGAGGTCATATCAAAACCAGACTTGATTCGCTAGACACTAAAGACCATTAAGAGTTGTGGGATGACATCAAGAACATCATACAGGAAGAAGAAAAGAAAGAAAAGACCAAAATGGATGTCAGAAGAGACTGAACCTTACTGTCCAGCATAGAGATAAAGCAAATGTAAGAAATGAGAAGGTGAAAGAGCTAAACAGGAAGTTTCAAAGGTCAGCTCGAGAAGACAAAGTCAAATATTATAACAAAATGTGCAGTGACCTGGAGTTAGAAACCACAAGGGAAGAATACACTCAGCAGCTGAAGCTGAGGGAACTGAAGAAAAAAATTCAAGCCTCAACTTGCAATATTGAAGGATTCTCTGGGCAAACTGCAGTCCTGGTGTGGCCCTGTGGGTTAATGCGCTGAACTGCAATGTCATTTGAACTGCAAGTTCGGCAGTTCAAGCTCATCATTTGCTCCTTGGAAACACTATATAGGGTTGCTATGGGTCGGATGGAGGTTACCAACAACAACATAGGTAAAATATTGAATGATGATGAAAACATCAAAAAAAAAAGATGGAAGAAATACAGTCACTGTACCAAAAAAGAAATAGTCGATGCTCAACCATTTCAAGAGGTAGCACATGATCAAGAGCCAATGGTCCTGAAGGAACAAGTCCAAGGAGCTCTGAAGGCATTGGCAAAGACCAAGGTACTGGGAATTGATGAATACAAAGTGAACTCTTTAAGGGAGCAGAAAATCTCATCTTTCTCCCATGGAGCAACTGGTAAACACTGTGCTTCCAGGGTTCCTTATGGTACCTATGAGGGGGCTTCAAAGAGGTCAGCGAAAAATTCCACTATCTTGTAATTCCACACTTCCACAAGCTTCTCAAAGCCCCCTCATGTATGTGTCTTAAGATCTTAAACATATTTAAAACAACTATATATTGCTAATGATTATAATCATTGCAAAATAGTTTTAGAATTGAAAGTAGAAGGACATGCAACATCTTTATGATACACTGGGGCACGGAATGGAAAACAGAGACTTTAGTTATATCTGCAGTGTTTTAGTTTCTTAAAAAAAGTACTAAAGAAAATATGGATTAAAAAATAGTATTACATTTGGATGGGGCTATCATAGTATTGTTCAATTGTTCCTTAAATTTTTCTGTGTATTTAAGATACTTCACCATCAAAAACAGAATTGAGTCAAAGAAATAGTTCACTTTATCCCAGTTTTGTATTTTGGCTTTTTTTTTTTCTTTCCCATTCAAATATTGTATTGTGTTTTGGTGAAAGTTTTCACTACAAATTAGGTTCCCACCTAACAGTCTCTATGCATGTTATTCAATGACATTGATTACATTGTACAAAATATATCAGGATTTTCATTATTTCTAATCTGGTTGTCTGTTTCCATTAATCTAGCTTCCCTTTCCCCCCGTATTTTCTCACCTTTGTTGTTGCTGTTGTTAAGTGCTTCTGACTCATAGCGACCCTATATAGTGTTTCAGAGGTGTGAACTGTTGACCTTGCAGTTAGTAGTCTAGTGCTTATCCTCCAGCACCACACCAGGACCCATCTCATCTTTAGTCTAGGGTAAATGTTTACTGTTTGGTTTCATTTCAGTGATTACTTAGAAAAGCAGCGCACTCACAGGTGATCTTATTAAGGAGCCAGTCTGTCATGTGACTGAAAGGTGACTTATGGGAGTGGTTTGAGTCCCGAGTATAAAGGGTATCCCAGTGTGATAGTCTTGGGGCTTCCTCTAGTCTCTCTTCCTCCAGCAAATCTTGGCCCTTTTTAGCAATTTTAGTTTTTTGTTGCTTTGTCTTTTACGTTTTTCTCCATTTTGTCTGGGACTATCGATCGTGTCCTTGTTTATAACTGTCAATATGGTAGCTGGGCGCCATCTGGTTGTGGTCTCAAGGTAGGTGAGGTGTGGTTCGTGTGCAGGGTCACTATGGGTTGGATGGAACTGACTCGATGGCACTTCACAACAGCAACAACAACAACAATTAGTCCTGTAGACTAATCTCTTCTTTTTTTTTAATCTGTTGGTTAACATAGATTTTCTCTTCTTTTTTAGTTGTGGCTTGAATGAAAGTTTACAGAGAACATTAGTTTTCCATTCATCAATTTTTACGTATTGTGTTTTGTAATGTTTGTTGAAAGTCCTTTCATTCTAACAGTACTCTTCCTACTTCGTCCCAGAGTTCCCAGTTCTTCTTCTTTCCTTACTCTTCCTGCCTTCTGAGCTTCGCTTTGGGGCAGATACTGCTCTTTGAACTTACATTGTCCTGAGGAATACATTCCTCCATGGTGCTGTTGGCCACTTTCTACGTCTGTCTGTTATTTGACTGAAAGGTGATCCCCGGGGCTGGATTAAATTCCAGATCTGAAGTTCTCGCCAGGCCACCTTTTCAAGAGTTCTACCATTGTCATATAAGACCAGTAAATCTGGCCTTCTTTATAGTTTAGAATTTTGCTCTACATTTTTCTCCCATTCTTTGACTAGTTTCTTTGTGCATTTGGCTTCCGTCTTTCTCTTTAACCTTGGGTTAATGGAGACCAAGAGTTTTCTCTTCTGTAGGATAAGTACTGGACTGTGAACCACAAGGTTGGCAGTTCGAGTCCACTAGTCACTTGGTGGGAGAATGATGAGGCTTTCTGCTCTTGCAAAGAATCACAGCCTTGAAAACCCTATACAGGGTCGCTGTGAGTCGACAGCACTTAACAACAACAACAACAACAACAACAGTACTATGTTGATTTTTATGGGTCTTGTGTTGTTTTCAGTCCTGTAGAATTGTAACTAACTGCAGTACAACTTGACACGGGGCTTGAACTGCCAGGCCTGTGCCTTTTGGATCCCTACAGTCCTGCCACATTGTCCCTTACTGCTCCAGCTCGGGGATGACTCAGGATTCTGGATTGAAAGTCATCTTCCCAGTCTCCACTCTGAGATTTTACAATTCAGAAATGGCTTCCCTTAAATTAGTACAACACACACTTCTCTAAAAAGCAGTTTTTACATCTAGAAATTTAATTGTTCAAATAACAGCAGTCTATTCCATTTGTAAGTTTATTTCTCTGATTGTTATTTCATTTATGTCTTACGGATTCGATATTATTGTTGTTGTTAAATGGCATTGAGTCAGTTCCAATTCGTAGCAACCCTGTGTAGGGTTTCTGACACTGCAGATCTTTTACAGGAGCTAAAATCCTTATCTTCTCCCAAGGAGAAGCTGGTGGGCTTGAACCGACAGCCTTGTGGTTAGCAGTTCAGTTCTTATCCTACACCACCACAGTGCCCCAGTTAGCCTTTTAAAACCTAGCCTAGTAAGGTGTTCACATGTCAAAGCGATCATTTAAAAATTAATGCTAGCTTAAATAGAAATGCAGATTCTCAGATCTAACATATTTCGGACTGAATATAGCAACTTGAAACGGCAGGATTTTCAGTAGTCACGTGCATTTTCAGGTTTCTCGTTTCTCTGAAGCTGTCCTGCTCCGCTGTATCCCTTTTCCCACAGGTACTCCTGCTAGATGAACCAACAGCAGGAATGGACCCCTGTTCACGCCACATTGTCTGGAATCTTCTAAAATACAGAAAAGCCAATCGGGTGATCGTGTTTAGTACTCATTTCATGGATGAAGCGGACATCCTTGCTGGTAAGGCTTGTGCTTTATTTCTGAAGGATAAGCTCATGGGGCTAAAAGGGAGGAGAAATCCCGAGGAACACATAGAGAAGCTGGTAACTTGTGATGTTTTTTAAAACCTTTACAACAAAGGTTTAAAAAAAAATTTTAAAAAACATCTGTTTTCACATTGAGGGTTACCCAGACTGCCCTAGGTCCGGTGATTTGCAATGAGGACTCACAGGACTCAGCATTTGGCTGTTCTTCCAGCTGTGAGTTATTATAGTGAAAGAATACAAAGCAAAATCTGCAAAGGGACAGAGTGCCTGGGTCCCAAGTGTGGAGGGGACTGGCTCAGACTTCCAAGAGCCCCTCAGAGGGCGGTGGGGAGCGTGTACAGGATGCATCTGTCCTTCATCAGTGGAATGTGCTAACACATGTGAAGTGTTGTCTCCCAGGGAAGCTCAGTAGACTCAGTGCCCACAGTTTTTATGGGCTGCTTCTCCGGTGGGCACCCGCTGCCCAGCATGTTCCAAAATTCCATGCCCACAGCTGGAAACCAGCTGCTCATCCAAAGCACGTTGCTTGTGCAGTTTAGGCGCAGTGAGCTCCTCTGGTCTGTTCTGGGAATGATAAGAACTCTTTTGAAACTCAAGTTTCTAGACACCAGCCAAGGGTCTTCCTTGCTAGCAGGCCTTGTTAAGGATAGCTGTATTAACTCTTTTTCTGCATAATTTAGGCACATCCCTACAGCTACAGAAGCTAGGTTTAAGTCGAGACATGACAACCTCTAAGAAGTGTCAAATTCTAGGACGACAGAAGAATTTTGGTGCATTTGAGTTAGGGTGTTGGAGAAGAACGGTACAAGTACCATGGATTGCCAGAAGAACGAACGGGTCTGCCTTGGAGGAAGTAGTCAGAGGGCTCCTTTGTCTCTCATAGTTGGGACATGTTATCAGATGCCATCAGTCCATGGTGAAGGACATCATGCTTGGTAAAATCTAGGGTCAGTGAAGGAGAAAAAGACTCCCAATGAGATGAATTTATACAATGGCAGCAGCAATTGGCTCAACGTTACAGCATTTGTGAGGATTGCATGCAGCCAAGCAGTGCTTCGTTCTCTTCTGCCTTGGGTGGCTCTGAGTCAGAATTGGCTTGATGGAACCCAACAACAATATGAGACATAGCACAAAGAATCGGTCTTCTCAGCAGTACCTTTGTTTGAAAAGCAACAGAAGAAAACTGATGTTTTGGTTTTGTTGTCATGGCCTTTGCCATTTTGAAGCTGATTTTGCATTTGGTGTGAAGGAAATTGTGCAGGCCCCTTAGGAGGAGTCAGAGGTGTTTGGAATGCTGTAAGGGAAGTGAGCCCTGCTGTGGCACTGTGGATCAATCAGCACTGGACTGTGAACCATGAGGTTGGCGGTTCAAACCCACCAGCTGCTCCTTGGAAATCCTATACAGGGCCGCTGTGAGTTGCAACCAACTCCATGGCCATGAACAACAACAACATAAGGGAGGTGAACTCTCAAGTCCGACTGTTGGGTACAAACGCCAACTTTGTCATTTCATAACTGTGTACCTCATCAGCAGGTTCTGTACTTCTGACTCAGTGGTCTTAACCTAGAACCTAGGTGATGATAAGCTATTAGCTTCCACAAAAGGTGGTGGTGATGATTTCATGAGATAATGCTTAGGGAATCCATGAAATGTAAAAAATTGAAATGTCAATCTCTGTTTACAGATAGGAAAGCTGTCATATCACAAGGAATGTTGAAATGTGTTGGCTCTTCACTTTTTCTCAAAAGTAAATGGGGGATTGGCTACCGTCTGAGGTATTCTATTAATTCTTTATTGTCTTTATCCTTGATCATACTTTTCATCTACTGTTAATATTTTTAGAGTATTGCAATAGTGTACTTTGGCTACCTTTAGTGACCCTATGTTTAAATTTAATTTAAAACATTTAGAATTTACCTTTCTGACTGTTTCGTGAGTAATCGTAAGATTTTTGTTTCTCTCCAGCATGTACATAGACAGATACTGTGCCACTGAGTCTCTCTCTTCAATGGTGAAACAACACATACCCGGAGCCACTGTCTTGCAGCAGAATGACCAACAACTTGTATATAGCTTGCCTTTTAAAGACATGGACAAATTTTCAGGTTATTTTCCTTTCTTTTCTGTTTCTTGCTTGTTGAACCGGGATCTTGCATTGGGAATAAGCTTCTTCTTTTACCCTGTTTACTTTTCTGTGTAATATTTTTATATTCCACATGGTCAGAGTTAATATTCTATTTCTTTTTGAAAACTACAAATATGACAGGCTTATTTGTTTCTTTATACAAACAGCATGCAGAAAACGAACTAATATGTTAACTGAGTCCTGGTGGACTGCTGTAAGATAAGCACTGGACTGCCCACTGCAAGGTCAGCAGTTCAAATCTGCCAGCAGCTCTCTGAACCCCATACAGGGTCACTGTGGGTTGGAGAAAAACTCAATGGCACGAAACAATGACAATAGTGTGGTAACTGAAATGCTGAGGAAAATGAGAGAAAAAAATATGAAAAATAATAGTTACTTATATATGTTGATGTGGCACTGTGGGTTTATGCGCCAGACTGCAAAGCCGTTTGAACTGCAAGGTTGGCAGGTCAAGCTCACCAATTGCTCCTTGGAAACCCTATAAGGGTCGCTATGGGTCAGAACTGACTCAACGGCACTTAACAACAACAACATATATGTTCTCAAGGTCTTTTCTACTTTCATGATTCCATCGTGAACTCTCTGGTCAACCCTGGAATTATATTATAATAATTGAGACGGTGTTTTTCCACTTTATAATGAAGAACACAAACTTCATTTTCTTCATCTGTGTAAGGATCTCATAACAACCAAAGGAATATTACCAATGTAGGTGTAGGCTAGGCATTGGGCTGCTAACCGCTAGCTCTGTGAAGATTTAGAGTCTTGGAAAACTTATACACCAGGGTCCCAATGAGTTGGAAACAACTTGATAGTGCTGGGTTTGGGTGTTTCTATGTTTTTGTTTTTTGCTATCCCCATAGCATTTTTCTAATAATTAAGTTTTCTATATTAGGCAAATTGGTTTCTGTAAAAAAAAAAAAAAGGTAATTTATTATATATATGCCTAGTTAATATAATACCTACCTTTCTATCCCCAAATCTTTAATTTACATATTCAGCATTTTGTGGGAAGGAGCCTGGATGGCATTGTAGGATAAGCACTGGACTGCTAACCACAAGGTCAGCAGTGCAAACCTACTAGGCCATTTGTGGGAGAAAGATGAGGCTGTCTGTTCTTGTAAAGTTTATAGTCTTAGAAACCCTGGATAGAGACTTATGAGAGTCAGATCCACTTGATGGCAGTGAGTTTGATTTTACCTTATGTGTAGGATGTTTGTTTGCACTTTTTACAGTCGTTCAATTTACTCAATTATCTAGGTGTCTTAGATAGAGACCATTATTAGAGTGTTGTTTCCAGCTTATAAATGAATCTGAGGTATAGAAAGGTTCGGCAACTTGCCAAAGTTAGAACAGAGAGCGAGTAGCCAAGCTGAATTCTGAACCTGGACTGGAGGGTTCTAGAACTCTTCTTTACACACCATTGGGGTTATGTTTCTTCTTTTACCCTGTTTACCCGGTTTTTTAATTTTTTAAAATTTCTACTGGTTCTCTGGTTTTAAAATGTGTTGTAAGAACTCTTGTGGAGTGGATCCCAAGATGTTTTCAAGGAATTCATGCAGTCAAAACTTTATAATGAAAAGTTTCTTCTGACTTAGGGAGCACAGTTGTACTCTGACTCCTATGGGTTTTCAATGGCAGATTTTTGGGAAATAAATTACCAGACCTTTCTTTCAAGACACCTCTGGGTGGACTGTACTCTCCAACCTATTACTTAGCAGCTGAGCATGTGTACTGTTTGTACACGCTGTCGTAATGCTAAGACATGATTTACCTTTTTGGTCTTGTCTCTCATGAGCATGTAGTGAATTTTCCAGAGACTACATGATATGACGACATGATATCACAGTAGACTGAACACAGAGGCCAATAAGAGACTGCATCTGTACTCCACAAGGCAGACATGAAAGAGATTGCAAAAATAAAACACACAGTGCCCTCTTCACATCAAAATCTTTCACGTGGTTTTTTTTCAGTGTACTTTAGCAAGTTTTAACGGTGAGAAAGGGGTTCTATGGCCTAAGGTAGTTTGAGTATTATTGTGCTAGCTGAGTAAATTTGATCACGCACTATTTTTTAAAAATGTTTTATTGTGAATTATGTGATAGTTTGCATGAAAGAATAGTTGTCTTACATTCATCCTATCGTATATTGTTTCATTGCCATGGTTACAATCCCCTCCATGCATCATCAACCAACCAAAGGGTATGCCCTGCAAGCCTGCCCCCTGGTCATCAGCACACAGCCTCTGTCCCTCTCTGGGTCTAGAGTCCCCATCCACTCCATCTCTCCACGTCATCATCTCTGCCTCTGTCTCTGGCATCTTTCTATGTCATCGTCTCTGCCTTAATCTCTGGCGTCACTGTTTCTCTGGGTAGGGTCCTGCTCTCCGCTCTTCTCCCTTGATGGTCCCAGGGACCTCTGCTCCTGGACTGCAAAGACAACCACTCTCCTCCTTTTGCTACAAACTGTCTACCTTTACATTTCCAACCCTCACAGTCAGTCCTGATAGCAATTATTCACTATTGCATGACTATTTTTAAAGAATATTTGAAAGGAATTCATGATAGTTTGCATAAGTGTACAGTATTTTTTTCACGTTTTGTCTTTTAGGTCTATTTGCAGACCTAGACACGCACTCTAGTTTGGGTGTTATTTCTTACGGTGTTTCCATGACAACTTTGGAAGATGTATTTTTAAAGCTAGAAGTTGAAGCAGAAATTGACCAAGCAGGTAAAAACTAATAGTAACTAACAAACTAATTTAGAAAAGGAACCAAACAAATGGTGATCTGGTGAAGAAATGAACCAGACAAAGAAGGTACATAAATGCATGCCATATTATTTGGGGGAAGGAAGCATAGGTAACTATTAAATAAGTCATCAAGGTATTTTCAAATTGAAAGTATCTTCAATTTCTTCAGTCTAAAATTGATAAAAAATGCAGTCAAGATATAGTGATAATTACTGGTGATGGAATGCAAAGGTTGAAAACAAAGAGGAAGGAATTAGTAGTTGGAAAATATGGCCTTGGTGATAGAAAACAATGCTGGAGATCCCATTATAGAAATTTTGCAAGACCATTGACTTATTCATTGCAATTACCGTTTTAAACAACACAAATGATGACTGTACACATGGGCCTCACACAATGAGATACACAGAAATCAAAATGATTGCATCTGTGGGAATTGATGGTGGAAAAGCTCCATATCATCAACCAAAACAAGGCCAGGGGCAGACTGAGGAACAGACCATCAATTGCTCGTATGCAAGTTTAAGCTAAAGCTGAAAAAAATTAAAACAAGTCTACGGGAGCCGTAGTATGACCATGAACATATTGTACCTGAATATAGAGATCATCTCAAGAACACGTTTGATGATTTAGACACTAATGACCCCAAGAGTTGTGGGGTGACGTCAAGAACATCATATAGGAAGAAAGCAAAAGGTCATTAAGAGGAGAATAAAGAAGGAAAAGACCAAAATGGATGTCAGAAGATACTCTCAAACTTGGTCTCAAGCATAGAGGTGCTAAAGCAAATGGAAGAAATGAAGTAAAAGAGCTGGATAGAAAATTTCAAAGGGCAACTCTAGAACTTAGTTGAGCTTATGAGGAACCTATGTATACACCAAAAGATAGTCATTCGAACAGAACAAGAGGACAATGAATGGTTTAAAATTAGGAAGGGTGTGTGCTAGGGTTGTATTCTTTAACCAAGTTTATTCAGTGTGTATGCTGAGCAAATAATCTGAGCATCTGGATTATATGAAGAAGAACGTTGCATCAGGATTGGAGGAAGACTCATTAACCTACTATGTTCAGATGATATAAATTTGCTTGCTGAAAGTGAAGAGGACTTAAAATGCTTTTTGATGAAGATCAAAGTCCACAGCCTTCAGAATGGGTTGCACCTCAAAGAAACAACAACCCTCACCAATCCTTACCAAAACTGGACCAAAAAATAACATCATGATGCATTGAGAAAATTTTCAAGTTGCCAGAGACTTCGTTTTGCTTGGATCCACAATCAGCACTCATGGAAGCAGCAGTCAAGAGGTCAAATGATGAATTGTCTTAGGGAAATCTGCACAAGACCTCTTTCAAGTGTTCAAGAGCTAAGATGTCAGTTTGAGGAGTAAGGATTCCTGACCCAAGCCATGGTATTTTTAATAACCCTATATGCATGTGAATGTTGGACAGTGAAGAAGGAAGACCGTAGAAGAATTGATGCATTTGAGCTATGGGGTTGGAGGAGAATATTAAAAGTACCATGGACTGCCAGGAGAACAAATAAGTATGTTAAAGAGAAGTATAGCCAGGATGCTCCTTAGGATCGAGGATGGCGAGACTTCCTGTCTCATGCTTCAGATATATTTTCAGGAGAAGGACATCATTCTCACTAAAGTGGAGGGTCGTAAACAAGAGGAAGACTCCCGGTGACAGTGGCAGCAGCAGTGGGCTCAAGTGTAACGGGACTCGTGAGGATGCCCCAGGAGCAGAGAGTGTTGCATAGGGTTGCTACGAATTGGAACCTACTAGACAGTACCAATAACTACAACAAGCCACGCAATATCTACTGATAAGAATTCAGAAGGATATTATGGAGTCATCTTAAGAAGCAGCTAATTTAGATTGTGTGCTCAAGGAGGAGTTTATTGATATGACATGAGACCTGGATGACAAGAAAAACCAGGGAGGCTGAGATCTGAAGACATCGTTTTCCAGATGAAGTGAGTAGCTAATGCAAAGGTCTTAATTGAAAATGAAGTTGGACATCTTTGAGGGACAGATAAAACGTCACTACGACCCAAAGTTTCAAAGTGAAGGAGAAGGTAGTACTAGGTGAAATCAACTGGGTAGGAAGAGGGCATATTATGTAAGACCTTGAGAATTTAGTTTATTTATATATTTTTTTATGCAATATGAATTTATCAGAGTCCTATTTGTGTTTTTAAAACTGCCTTTTGGTTGTGGGATGAAGAGTGAATTGTAAAGAAGAACGGAGCCAGGAGGGGTGACTGGAAAGTAACATGTACTTCTCATTTTTCCAAAAACGGTGACACAAAAGGCAAGACAAAAAATGGCATTTCATGAAAAATGAAGAAGTCACTGATTTGTTGATTGCTGTGAAGAATACGATCAGGACAGAAAAGGTGGCTCTGGTAACAAGAAGGACAGTGAGGGATTTGGGAATGTAGAAGGCATTGGTGAGCTTGACAATAGTAGTATCTGTGGTGTGATGAGGCTCAAAGGTAGATCTATGACGATGGAGGTGAAAGGCGCGTGGACGAAGTCTCTCCTACAGCTGAAGGTTAATACCATGGTTAACAGTGAGGGAAACTGATGGCAGAGCATGCGTAGTAAGAGTCAAGGTGCTTTCAGTTCAATTTGCGTGAACGTTGAGTGGCTGATACAATAGCACCCTGGTTTCTGGTTCCATCAATTAGTTTTGGGATGAATGGCATCACAGAATGTGTCTCTTTTGTGCCTAACTTTTTTTTCCTCAATGTTGTGTTTGTGAGACTGAACCATGTTATTGTGTGATGGTTATACAGTGGTTTGTTCACGTTCATTGTTTTCTATGATTCCGGTGTAGCACAGCTTTACAACTTAGTTCTTTTTCTTGATGATGGACAGTTGGATTCCTTTTAGTGTTTGGCCATTCTGGGCTAGGCTGTTAACTAAGAATGTTCCTGTGCCTGTGTTTTGGTGAACCTATGTAAATATTTCTGTGAGGTTTATGCCTCGAAGCAAATTGACTAGGAATCCTAATGTGACTGCCCTGTTATAGGAAAACCACTGGACTGCTAACCACAGGTGAGCATTTCAAATCCACCAGCTGCTCCTCGGTAATCCTATACCAGGTCGCTATGAGTCGGAACTCACTCGATGGTACTTAACGACAACAACAAGATAGACCAATTTCAGCTGGCGTAGATACACAAACATCTGTGAGAGTGCCATTTGCTCCCCATCACTGCCAGAGGAATGCGTCTTTTACATTTACATACCTAAAGAGTTTTGTCTAAGGAACGTGCTGCAATTTTCTGACTTTTCTTTTTGTTTTGGCAAATAGATTATAGTGTATTCACTCAGCAGCCACTCGAGGAAGAAATGGATTCAAAATCATTTGATGAAATGGAGCAGAGCTTACTTATTCTTTCTGAAACCAAGGCTTCCCTAGTGAACACCATGAGCCTTTGGAAACAGCAGGCGTTCATGATAGCCAAGTTTCATCTCCTTACCCTGAAACGTGAAAGTAAATCCGTGAGATCAGTGTAAGTGTAATCATCACTTTGTTACCAGATGAGTGGTTCTGGATTTTTAAGGGGGATTCAGATTTGATCAACCATCTTAACTTTTGAAATGTGGATATATTGAAATAATCTATGCAGTTTTTGGTGTGTTTTTTTTTTGTCCCACTCAAGCATATATAATAATTTACATCTCCAAAGGGTACATTCTGCAAGTCTGCCTCCTGGCCACCAGCTTTTAGTCCCTCTCTGGTAGCATAGTGGTTACAAATCGGGCTGCGAACCTTAAGGTCAGCGGTTCAGCTGCTGCGCCGGAGAAAGATGAGGCTTTCTACTCCTGTAAAGATTTACACCCTTGGAAACCCTGTACAGGGTCGCTATAGGTTGGAACTGACTCGACAGCACTTAACAACAACTTCTTAATACATGAATCTAGAGTCCTCAGCCGCTCCCCCTCTCCATGCCCCCATCTCTGCCTCCATCTCTGGCGCTGCTGCTTCTCTGGATAAGGTCCCGCATTCTGCCTGTGCGCTTCTCTCTTGATGGTCCTAGGGTCCTCTGTTTCTGGACTGTAA